CCCCCCCTCCTCCCTCACCCTCTGGTCCCCGGACCTCGCCCCGGGCGTTACAGAGGCCACGCCCCGCCCCAAGCCCTGTTCTCGGAGGTCCAACAGAAAGTACATTATTTCGCCCGCCACAGCACAGCAGCCCCCAAGGGGAGCTCCTTCTGCTATGGTTCCTGCCGCTGTCGTCGGCTTCTTCCCTTTCAAGGAGGAGTAGCAATTTCTCATTTTCACTTAAAAGAAAGAGAGGGAGTGAGTAAAATCTCACGGAGCATCCGGAGCACCGTCGTCACTTTTGTCGAGTTATAATTTAACAGTGCAATGCACACGGAAAAAAAAAGATTACTTGGCAGAACTTATACATTGTCTAATTTTGGGATTGTCAAGAAATTCGCTATGCCATCTAAAAATTAGTCGTTCTGACTAATAATCTTATTGTCCGTGCAGTACACGCTAGAAGTGACTTCTTGGTTTCCAAGCAAAAGTGGTAATTTCCCAGCACTTTTCGCTTTTGCTTAAATCAAGCAGTCACTTTTAGCGCGTACTAAAATCAGGATTATAAAAATATATTTTTCTTCAGCACCCTCTCCACATCGCCGGTCAGACACAAGTCGAACGGGGGTTGAGGGTGCGCACGACGTCCCTCTGGTCAAGGTCTCGACAGTTTTATATTCCCGACCAAGTCGACTATTCCCTCCTTCGTACTCGGACCTTTATTTGTCTTGCCAAACAACCGGCCCTTCCCTCCCGGGCGGCGGAGGCGGTGGCGCGGGAGCAGGGTGGAGGTCAGGGGGCGGCAGAACCCGAGGCAGAACCGCACCGGACCCACCCGGAACCCGGGCCAGCTTGGGTGCTGCTGCGAGTGAGTGCGAGTTCAACTCGGGCTGCTGCTCCTGGATGGGCAGCCGACTGTCTCTTTCTCTCGACTGTGACTCGGACGCCACACACGCCCACCCCTCTTTCCCTCTCCTTTTCCGTGACGTTAACCACCGCGGATCCCAACCCTCTATCCGGCGCAGCAGCTCGCCCCGAGACTGAGCGGGCGCATTGCACTTGACGTGAGCCGGGGGGCGCCGGGGAGCCCAGGCGGCCCAGGCGGCCGGGGCCCAGGTCGAGCACGCCCCGCCCGCCCTCCGCCCCACCCTCCCCGCCACCGCCCGTAAAAGGGAAACAGATTGCTGCAGTCTGCGGTAACGTCCACTGGCTGGCCGTGGCGTGGGCTAGAAGCAAGGCTAGAAGACGGCAGGAGGGGAGGAAGGGGAGAGAGGGAGGGAGGGGAAGCCCTCTCAAAGCGCGCCCCCACGCAGGCTATTACTTAGAGGGGAAGGTGCCGCCCCGCGCCTCACCGCGCCGCACCCGGCCAGTCTTTTAAGAACGCCCGTATCGTGTTGTAAAGTAGCGCTGATCCGGCCTCTTTGCCCCCCGCGCCGCCGTCAGCCCGACAAACAGGCATATCGGCCGGACCCGATCGGATCGGGCCGGCCGGTCGTGAAAAGAGAGGTCTGTGGCGCTGAATAGAGTCGGCAGGGCGCGAGGAGGAGGGCGCCGGGCCGGGCGCGTGTGCGAAAGTGCAAATCGAGTGAGTGAGTCTTCAGGAAGACGAGGAAAAAACAGCCCCTCGCGGAGGGAGCGGAGCCAGCGGAAGATGGGGGGACGGGGAGGGAAAGGAGGGCGGGGAGGAACGAGGTCACCCGGCGCTGCGGAAATAAGAAAGACCGCCGCGCCACGCTGCGCTTATTTTATTTCGCCACTTTTCACTCTGCGGACCACCCGGCCCGGCCCGGACGCGTCGCTGGCCGCCGCTCGCCGCCGCCGCCGCCCGCTTCGCTCTGGCAGCCCTGGCGCAGCCTCATTACGTGGGGGAGGCGAGGCCGGCGCGAGGCTCCCCGCCGCACCGCATTATTTACGCTTTAGAGTCAATATATAACGGCGGAATATGACGCAAGGGAGGCAGGAAAACGCGTGGGGGATCGCGCGGGGCGTAGTACCGATTGTTCGGAGAGAACGTAGGGGTTGTTTGTGTGCGAGTGTGAGTGCTTGTGTGTGTGAGTGTGTGTGTGCGAATTTCCCCGCGAAGATGGAGAGGAGGCTGCGATATGTGCGATGCGGCGTGTGCGGGGGAGGGGGGGGAAATTGCGAGATTGAGTCGAGACTGTCGATGCTCGCACGCACGCTCTGCTAGGGCGGCTGTTCCCACGATCGCGCAGCGCAGGGCGGGCGGCGGCGGGGCGGTAGAGACGAGCTGAGCGTAGTTTGGCAGCAGCCCCAGGACCCCCACCAGGGGGTGGGGTGGTATGGGGGTTGTCGGGGACGGACGGGGTTAGCCGCGCGACCGGCCCGGGGCGGGAGCGGCCGGAGCTCATGATGCGGCGGCCGCGCCCTTATGTTGTCTTCAAGAAGTTTGTCCGACTTCCGGCCGCGCCGGCCCGGGACTAGGCTCTGGCTCGGCACGTCCGCCGCTCGGCCGGGTCCATCAAGTAAAGCCCCGCCTCGCCTCGCCTCACTCGCCCCACTACCGCCTCGCTTCCGAAACGACGCTGCCATAGTAAAAGTTGGCTCTCACTCACCTGTGTTACATTGCGTCTCGACATCGAATCGACATTATTTTACATACCTCACTGGGCTCCAGGGCCGCTAGTCTACAAGTCGCACAGGCCGGCATTTCCCTACTTCTTGTTTGGTTTTATTTTATTTTCTGAGGGGCCGTTCTTAGTGATTAGTCTCAAACTGGGGACTCTTCGTTCTCGTATTTCTGTGGAGTGGAGTACTATGAGCAATAACTCCCGCACAGATGTTTGAATTTGCCGCCAGTTACTACCCCGGGACGTTCTAGTCATTTTCCAAGGCGGTGGCGTCTGGCGTCTTCAGTTTGTTTGAAGTTTGAAGAGAGTCGTCACACAGTGTTGTCTTGTACTTTTTGTACAGTTTTATTCCTGCGTTTTCGTGAGGCGTTGCAATTGCAATCATGTGTAAAAATTGTTTTGGGGTTTATCATGTTGTTTTTGCGTATTACTTTCAGGATGTTTTGTTTTGGGGCTCTGTTCCGCCACATAACCTCAACCTGACCTCAGCACAACTCGCACAACTTTAACAGTTAATAGGTTACCACGACCCGTGCGTTTTTCTAGCAATTGTTATAATTTCTCTCTACCCCGGTGAGTTGTCGTACATACTATATTATTTCCTGGCCAAACTGGTCTATACGCGTCCGCTGTGTGGTTCAGTCTGGCCTGTTCATTTCTTTGGTTAAGGGCTTTAAACTTATTTTTTCACAATTGTTTACTTGAACTTGTGGTCGGAGTGGAGACCTTGAAGTCAGAGCAAAAGGATTACTTGACTACAACTTTTGAAAGAACCGCGCACCAAGCGGTAAATCCCTTTCCTGATATTCAAGTGCTTATTTAATTTTTTTACAAGTTGGTGTTTGTGTTGTCATTCCCCGTTGCGCCGGCGAGCTGGAAGATGTCATGAATGATGAAACTTAACGTTTCGAAGTTGGATTTGGCCTGCTTTTGCAATCCGAAAGAAAGAATGGTGACTATTTATTAAGGTTTTCTCATTTTTACAGCTTGGCTGTCATTCTTGTCTGGAACTGGAACACCATTTAAGTCAAGTAACTCCTCGGAAGGAGGCATTCCACCCACTTGTAGCTCCCTAACCTCAAATATTTCATTGGATTTGGAAATACAAGTTTACGAACACCGGACACCTTCAGGTGCGAGTAAAAAGATTCACACACCCGCAGTTGTGCGACATAATGTTTGCATATCTGCAGGTGTGCACCGACGCATATTCCGCCCTCAGATTTATGGGAATGATAATTCACAAACTTGAGGGCGAACAAATGGCTATCTTCAGAAGTAGTGTGTGAGGAATAATATGGTTGTACCGGGACCAGGCTATATTAGTACCGCAGTTACGTAGGAGGAGCGTTGGCGTCGGTCCTGAAATTCCGTCAGCTGCTAGGTGCGTGGGTGGGGTGGCAGTGGGGTTGGAGACGGGGGGATAATACCGGAGTGCCCGGAGGGGTGGCGTCTGCAGGTGCAGCAGCAGAGCATCTAGCTCGGTTTGGAGTTTGGATCACGAGCTGTCGGAGGGGATGACGACTCGACGGCCAGGCTCCTATACTGGCACTGGCCTCTCCCGTTGCCCGCGGGCCCGTCCGCCCCGCCGAGAAGGTTGACAGAGCGGGATTTGATCCTCTGGAGGAGTTTTCCTTCCACATCCCGTCGATGATGGACGTGTGCAAGGGGCGAGGGTTCCCTCCCTTCTCCTACCTCAGCCCCATTCGAGGCTCAGCCGGGCTTGCCGGAGCCGCGGTGCAGAGGGGGGAAGAGAGGCTTTTTACAAGGCCGCGGGAGCTTATATTGGTTGTCGTCACATATTCTCCGGGCGCCCGCCTCACCTCTCCCTGCTCTGTGGACCCGCCCTCGCCTGGCCTGACCTCATGAAACAAACAACGGCGGATGAAGCCCCCAACCCCTCCCCGCCGTGAAAACACTCGTCGACGGAAAAGGGAATATATTTTCAGCCGTCAATCCCTGTGCGAGAGACCCTGTGTGCTAACGGACTGTGCTTTTGTTTCCAGGGGTCCCTTCAGCGTGGTCCGGCGATGCATACACCGCACGACTGGGCAGCAGTTCGCCGTCAAGATCGTGGACGTGGCCAAGTTTACCTCGTCCCCCGGACTCAGCACGGCGGGTGAGTACCTCCTGCCCACCCTGGAATGCTTGATGGGGAGGCTAAGGTGCCCCCGGCTCCCTGCAGCTCGATACGCCTAGTGTACAACTTTTGATTCGACTCATGAGAGATTCAGGCGGCGCGTTCACGGCCTGCTCCCTGACCGGAGCCGGATTAATACCTCACTCCTTGATCAATACTGCAGCGCCGCACAGACACCGCACCACCAGACTACCCTACTGTGATTACTACCTTTGTCGAGTACACGGCCTAACCACATGTGTTATTCCAGGTCCGGATGAAATTACAAGTAAGGGGGACGGTTAAGTATGTACAATAATAATAATTATTACTTTGCCTTCGATTAGAGAGCTGAGGTAACAGACGCCCTAACAAAAAGTAATTGATTAACCAAATAATCTAGAAGTACAGTAGTAGTTGTACTATAACCTGGTATTGATTGCGCCCTTTTAATCCTATCTTAACGATTGATAACTAAACAAACCGACATAGCGTAGGCGAAAATCTAACGTAGTGTTGAAAGCGTAAAAACATAACCGCTTCGTTTTTTTTGGTCGCAATTAAGTCGTGTGATTTTTTTTTGTATACAAAAAATTAAACCAACCCTACCGACGACGTATGTGCGAAGCGCTCAAAACCCCAAGCCCGCCTTCCGTGAATAGTGTTGTTGTACAGAGTACAGAGCGGGGAGGGGGACAACCACGCCTGGCCACTCACACCGCCCCACGCACTCAGCCGGCTTTGCACCCCCGCCTCACGCACAAACGACTACCGGCCGGGCCATCAGTGTCCAAATGGACGCGAGCCACGATCAGCTTTTGTAGCCCTCCGGTTTGAAGTAGCAGCAGTCGCGACGGTTGTTGTCCTCCTCCTCCTCCAACACGAGCGACGCTGGCCCCCCTCCCTGTTTTCTGCCCTGGGGCGGCAGTATACATCCCATCCGAGGGGGGGGGGGGGGGGGGGGGTCGCCCGGATCCGCCCGGATCCACCCGGATCCACCTGATATGCATACTACTGCTCCTCCTCATTTCTCTAATCCACTTTGCGCGCGGCCCTGCCGCCGCAGCCGCCGCCGCCGCCACACCGTCGTACCCGAGCGTAGTGGTACCCTCGTCTCTTAGCGAGTTTCGCTTTGGCGCTCACAGCTCTGGTATGCTGGCCCGGCCCCCCCCCTCCCCGGGCCCCCGGGCCCCCCGGGCCGCTGCCACCCTGGGGCTGCTGTAGTATCGCCCCTGGTGTGCCTGGCTGCCCTGCCCGGCCCGGCCCGCCCCCCCGGCAGCGCCCTCTGTTCCCGTTCCTTTCACCGTATCGACGCCGCCCGGGGCCCGGGGCATTACAGCGGATGGAAATACGGCCACAATGCAGTGGAGCCGGCCCGGCCGGCCCTCACTCACGTCGGGATCAGGCGCGCGCAATCACCGCTGCATTCATTTGCCAATCACGTTCGGGATTCGCTCGCTCGGCTGCCAGCCTATCGCGGCGCGACACGGGTCGTGTCGCAGCGTCACGGCGGCGGGGGCCGCGGGGACCGCGGGCAGGCCTTTCAAGAATTATCGGGAGTAACTGCCGTCGTCAGCTGCGCGTCAGCTTTCCCCTCCCCCACTCTCTCTGCCCCCCTCTCACAGTAGCTCCATTCTCATATCACTGGTAAAAAGTGAAAAATGGCGTATGTCCACGGACTTCGCATTGGACTTACGCCCTTTTCAGTTTTCACCGGTGATGTATACTCTTTCCCTGATCCATCAAATCGCCCGGGCACCCCCGGCCCCCACCGGCATGATATGGAGCTGGCCGCTGAATCGCGCGCGCGCGGGCCCTCGTGCAAAATACCCAAACGTGAAGCGAGAATTAAAGACAAAGGAATGGGATCGAGGGATTATGTCCACCCGAATACGCCCGCCCGCCCGGCGCAACGGCCCGGGCCACTCAAACGCCAATTTAGGGGCCGGCCGCGCGCGGGTGTTGGAGTGGCCGTCACGCACCCCTGTGCGGGGCGCGGGGCGGGCACTGTTGCGAACATGTACGGCCCCGGCATGGGCAGCCCCCCCCCCCTCACCCCCATCCCTCCATCCCTTCACTCACTTCTCCCCGTCGTTTTTACTACCTTCGCCGGTCGGCCCGGCCTCTTGCAATTTTTCATGACGCTGGTCCCGGGCCCTTTAGGCCCCTCCGGGTCTCCTCTCGCCCCTCCCCGCCCCCCTGTGGCCTCCGGCCTCCGGCCTGCAGCAGACGAGGGAGAAGGAGAGAGACGGAACACTTGCTCACCCGGTCCGCTTCTCCCTCCCGCTCACTTGAAATGCTCTGGACCGTCGACGGATGCGCGCCCGTTTTTTCTTGTGCCTACATCCGCCCTACTTAAAAAAAAAAACAACAACAAAGATTTTAATTTTTTATGGAAATGTGAAACTTTACTTTTTCACACTAACCGGACCATTGCAGCACGGAGCGGAATGCTGCTGCTGATTTCTTTTCCCCTTTTCATTCATCTATCTACCCCAGCAGCACCAGCCGTCCACCTGCTTGCCTCCCCTCGTCCCCCTCTCCCTTCTCCGCATCGTTTGCGAGTTTTGCGCCGGGGAGCCGGCTCGGCTCGCGCCGTCGGCAAAAATTCTTGTTTGCTCCACGACACTGCGCGCGTGCTGCTTGCGGCCGCTCTGGTTTGCGTGGCGCGTCGCGCGCGCGGTCGCAAAAACGAAACACAAATAAAAATAACCGGCAGTGCGACGAGCGGGGGGGAAAAAATCAGGCATTCGTCGCACTGGCTGCTCACGTCAGCCGAGCCCAGGCTGTGGCTGTGGCTGCGGCTGCGGCTCGGTAGCGAACCAGGCGCCAGGCGGGCCTCTCTCAAAGTGACGCAGGGTGCGGAAAAGGGGAAGGGGGGGGGGGCAGCGTCACCAGAGACCAGAGGCGCTCCAGCTCGGACCGGCGTTACGAAAGCGCACGGAATGGAAGCAGTCGACAATTAGAAACTCGTCCCTGTCACCACTGGGCTCGGGCTTGTGAGACGCGGCCAGTGGTGGGAGTCCTGGGGGAGGAAGGAGGAGGATGGGCTTGGGTTGGGGGGCGGGGGAATCTTTTCGTAGAACTGGGACGGCTGATGCGCCGGGCTGACCGACGGGTACCCGCCGGCACCCTCTCTGCTCCACGTCCGCGCCGGCCGCCTTGCCTCTGGCTCCGCGGGCTGCATGGTATGATGGCGTGTTTGTCTATCATTACCATAGTCAGTCGTCTTCGTTTGCCTTTCCAGCAATCCTTCCCCTTTACGAGGCGCGGTGTCGCGTGCCTACCGCAAAAAAAGGAGGTAAAGAAAAAATGAGCCTCGGCTTTGCGAGAACTGAAACAGAAATAAAACAATAATAACGTTAGACGAACAGAACAAATGCTAAAATGTGGTGGGCATTATCGGTGTCCTTTCCGCGAGGGCTGGGGCAGGTCAGCCTGCGAGGTAGGCCGCCTCGGCCCTCGGCTCGCACCTGCGCCCGCCGGGTTGCCTACCCACCGCTCTGCAGGCGCGCTGGCTGCGCTCTGCGTCCGCTCCGCGCCGCGGTCCTCCCTCGGCTCACAACAGAGCGCGTGTGGGACTCGCATTCTGAAACGCCGGCGCGGAGTAATTGCTCGTAACTCGTGTGCTACGCGCGCTGCGGTCCGGAGCGCATTACAAAGGCGCGCCTCACTTGTTTACTCTCCTTTTGTGCTCGCGGCGCACGACCTCTCCCCATACTTGCTCATACCCACCCCGCACCTACCCCTCTCACCACCACACTTTTCCTTCTCTTTTCTCTCTTTGTCCAAAAGCGAATAACAACACCAACACAAAGGCGCGGTGCGATGTCATTGGCTCCGCGCGTTATTCGGCGGCTCTTCCCCCCCGGGGAACTCGGAGCCAGCAGCCAGCTCTAGAACTTTGTCGATGGAACATGCCCATTTTGATTTTTGTTCCTTTTGCACTAAAATAATGAGCAAGTCGTTGACCTAATAACCTAACACGTTCTCGGAGCTACTAAATGGCAATACTAATCTATCGACTGGCCATCCCCC